TCCCACACATCTTTTGAAATACGCTGACCAGGCTGGACCAAGTTAATCAGTTCTCTCCCGCCATCTTCAGTATTATAATCTAATGTCAAAAAATGAAGAATCTCGTAAGAAATCGTCAAATGATTCACTGCAGACATTATTCAGGTTCCCCAAGTGGGCAGGGAAAAATGATTGGGAGTATGATTTGTCATAAAATGGTCTATCACTCCACACCTGAGCCATAACACCCACACTACATATGTGTAGCAGGCTCAGTGAATATGTGGTTATCATGTACATACAGTTCTGCTCAGTTATCTGCTCATCAGGACAAGTTATTCATATGTAATACATGCTGTAACTTCTTTCAGATTGAAAAAAGCTTCCAAAAGATTGACTACATACACTGACTCAATGTTTTGGTGTGATCTCATCAACTCAACTGCATGTAACACACTTTCTGTTACTAAGACATAGCTTCAACAATATTGCCTGAGCAGCTACAGAATTATATGTAGTGAATTTTTGGGAAAAAAATTTCAAAGTTGAAAAAGTTACATGTGGTATAACATGTGATTTATTTATTCTGATGGGCAAAAAACTGAGCAGACCTGTATGTACATGATAGACAACTATTGACTTAGCTTGCTGCACATATGTAGTGTGGGTGAAATGGCCCAGGTGTGCAGTATTAGATTCTTTTATGAAAAACTGTACTATTAATCATTTTCCTCTGCCAAATTGGGGAAGTTGAATGATGTTTACAGTGATTATTAGAACAACCCAAGCTTACCACTACTAGTCAATGCAAGCAAGCCATCTAGCTTCTCTTCAATCTTTAGAGTCTGGTAAACCATCTGCTGAGCCTGGCATGCTGCTTCTTGCTGGTTCCCTTGAGGGGTGTCGATTGCTGCAAGGAATGCTTGTATACCCTCAATGGTACCCACATCTACCGCCCACTTCTCTGTAGGATGGGTAAGCGCCCCTACATTCCAGAAGATATCTTCTACAGGTAGTCTGGTTGCATCATCAAGCAAAGGACAAGCCATATTGGTGCGAGGAGCTATTGAGTTGTAAGCGGTCACTTGAGATTCGTAGGAAGTCCATTTCCTCTTAAACATCATTTGTTTCTTGCTCATAAGTTTCTTCATCCCCTGTTGCGCTTTGGTCCCTGGAAGGAAAGATTGAAGAAGCAGTAAAAAATAATGGACTTCGTAAGAATGAGTGAAATAGAGAGTGAAATAGACCTACCTTCCACCTCCTTATCCCACTTTTTCTGCGCCTCCACAATTCCTACTTTGGCTTCATAAAGCTTCATTTTAGCTAGCCGCACACCTATCAGAGCTAAAGCTTTTGGACCTAGCACAGCGAGAGAGACATTCAGTAGATTGCAATTATTTCCTCAATGATCCAAATGGACTCACTAGTAGCTTGGTGTAGCCGCCTAAACTCTTCACTTCCCAACTCTTCTGTAACATCGAGAATTGCGGTCTCAAGCGCCACAATTGATGCTGGTAATGTCAGAGTGGCAGCAATATCTTCATCTGTCCGGTTCCTTCTACGCTTCCTTCGAAGCCTGTTGAGCTCCTCACTTTAATGGAGTAAAATTTCAATCAAACAATTGAATGCCTGAATAATATATTGAACATCACGTACTGAGCATGCTTCACTTCCTCTTGCAACTCAAGGAGTTCTAGAAGGCATTGTTCCATCCGCTCCTGAGTCTCAGCAGCATCGTCTGCCATTGCAGTAATCTGACACCGCTTCTGTCGCTCCCACTGCGAGGAGAAGTATTCCAAAGTATAAGATTCATCTCGAGCCTGCAATCTTTGAAGAGTCTTAGAAGCCACCTCCAACCGGTCTTCCGCTATCTTGACTTTGGACTCTATTGACCTCGCTGAACCAAATATAAACGTGTCAATTGAACTGCTTCTATATTAGCATGGGAATCAGATCAACATACCTGCATTTCTGCATCGAACCTCATTTCCGTGAGTAGACTTCAAGTCTATAGCATCAACTCGGTGTTGTTTTGTGGAACATCGATTTGCTGCTATCAGTGGATCATTATCACTCCAAATCCTCTCATTTCCTTCCCCGTCGGTCAAACCCCATCCCTTGTTCAGCCGGGGATTATATTTCAGTTGACACGTCCATTCATGCGCATATGCATGCCATGCACTGGTTGCAAACCTAAGATCACCTCCTCGTTCCTCTCCAAAATATTTATTCTGTATATTCAACATTTCTTCGTTAGATTCAAAGAGGAAATAAGAAATTTGATAATCAAACACTTCACTTTACCTTTCTTACACTTTTCTCTAATGTACAACCAATGTCATATAAGACACCCACAGTTTTTGAAGGTTTTCCCGGCTCTGATACATCTTGCATGAACTGATCAAGCAGTGCTAGTACATAATACTGGCTATGGAATCAATAAAGCAATCTACATTCAGGAAATATTTGCGCAAGAATCTGGGGAAACTGGATCTGGAAAACTGACCGCTCTCCACTCTGAATTACATTCACAAACTTGAGGACATGATCATGTCGACAAGCAAGTCCAATCAAGCCTGTTTCGTCACATCCCTTCCAAGTAGAGCTTCCTCGACGATCTGCAGCTGCAGTGTGAGTGGCTGTACAGCGATCCTACAAAACAAACCAAGGAAGGTGGTGATGAGATCATGATATTTCTTGAATTGTTCCAATGCGTAATCCCACATGTGGGA